AACCATTTCAATACAATCCATTTCAACTTATTTAGAAATAAGAGGTCTGTCTGGATTATTTCTCCAGCGCGTTTGTTTGGTGGAGGGCGAATTACATGTTAATTTTAAGGTTCAGTTCATAAAATCACTCGGGTTAAAAGAACTGAAAAATACTCGAAATTAAGTTCGGTAAGATATTTTATCCAGTGATCTGTTTGCTTTGAAAGGAACACGGGGCCGGGATCAAGGTTGAATCGGACAATCAGGTGAGTGTCTGGCACTGTTGTCGAAACTCGAAGTGTCCCGCCCAGTGCCCGAGGATGCTCTCAAAAAATTTACATACTAGAGCGGCCTCGCCCTCTCTCGTATTAACACCATGCATTGCTATTGGCGTACACATTACAAACTCTTTGGTTGGCAGTTAACAATCAGCAGATTTTGTTTTATTGTCATATCTTAAGGGCGCAATTAACATTGTGAATATTCCGATACGGTGTTATTTGCTGTGGCATTACTGCGGATGTTCCATTGAGTGCAACAATAAAGCCAAGGGAAATATTATATGCTGAGACCGAAGATGGGAGGATAAAAACAAATATATTATTGTCAAAAATATGTGTTATCATTTCTCATCTTTTCTCCGCTTGTTTGACAAAATACCCGTTTGCTTCTACATAAAGCTCAGGAAAAACCCCAACACTCGAGCAACTCCATAACTACATACTGCAGTGATAACACTGTCCATTGCGGTTGAAAAACCACTAACCAAGAACGCACAAGGCTTTATCGCGCACCTTTATAGTGTGACGAGATCTTACAACATCTTTCTGAAAAGATGTGCCAAGCCATACCTGAAATGTTGACGGTTGACGACAGTGGCATTTTAAAATGGTAGTTTCTCGCTGGGTGGTTGTCACATTAAGCTTCTTCAATGACAATAACAGTAAAACCGAATAGGCCATAGATTGACAATTGATGAGGAGGGCCTTGCCGGTAGAAATTGTTCTTTTGGGTTTTTTAATATAAAAATGGACCTATTGAGAAAATACGTTGGTCGCCACATCTGACAGAGGTCCATTAGATGCTTGTGTTTGTCGTTGTCATCATTTGCATACGTTTGATTCAGACAACTTTCAACTCAATTTGTGATTTCTACTAATTTGACCATGGATTGATATGTGCACCTGTCATTAGTTTAGTCTACCGGTACTTGTACCTACAATGTGGCCCTTAAAGTAATTTTAAACTTACAAGCAAACGCTATGGTTTTGTAGGATGTCATTAAGGCGTCATGTCCATAACATTAAAGCTTACTCATCCTAAGCTTAAATATTATCTTCAAAGAACCCATCAGACTATATTTCTAAATATTAATCAGTGCGGTAATCTGAGCTATTATCTGTTCGTTTCTATAAGTATAGTTTTGAACTATGTTGAATGTCAAATGCTATACAGGTGTCAAATAATTATTGTATTACGTTGTATTATTTTCAGCACTTTTGGAGAATTTTTAACATAAATCGGTTCAGAGTACCTTTTTCCAAAAGTTAAGCAAAGCCCTCCCCCTCACTCACTCACTCCCAAAGGAGGAAAAGACTACCCTGAGTCGGATAGAAGCATATTTTATTTACTCCATTTTATTGAGCCCCTCTGTTGATGTCCTGGATTAGGTATAGAACATTATTGATACTTATCAGAGATGCATGCACTTGTTATTGTTTCACATTTCTTAAAAAAATCAAGTTAATGAAGACTGCTGAAGTTAAATGAAAAACTGCCAAAAATAAGGTATTTTTCCATTTTACATACCTTGAGCAATAAGCAGAATTGAAAAATTGATTCTTATTCATTCTTCAACTTCTGTAAATTTTATTATATAATTCTTATTATATTCACATGTAATCGCGTGAGAACTATAAGACACACTTGTCATCTATGCTACCTGTATATAAGCAGCCAGAATGTGGACAAAATGCACAAACACGTGAAATAATTTCGTCAAAGTCTTTCCCTCGTTCAACAAATTGCCCAGACTAAAATTAAGGAGCTACTGGTAGTAATCGATACTGTTGTCTATCTACTTGTCTTCTCTGATTGAAAAAATTAAGACCCCCGCTTTTTCTTCCTTGGTTAACCATTCGTTCATGCGGTTAAGCTTTTCTGCCGCGTTTAAGTGATGTCTTACTGTAAGTTCAGGTAGCAAGCGCAGCTCCTTTGTCCGCAGTTTTTTACCAGATTGAGCAAGTCGCGCGATTTTTTCTCTTTTTTGTAGATGCATCAATGGTTAAAAATGATCTTGAAATTAAACCTATGGATTAGTAACTCTGAGAAGTTTCTGGTTAGCCGACAATTAAACCCAATATCTTTCCTCTATTTTTACAACTAAATAACACTGGAGACAATATACTAGACAGCTGAGCAGATAAGGGAAAAACGCTGCTTTCCTTACAAGCGACAAAACGCTACATGCGGCTTGATAGATTGCGACAACAAAAAGAGAAAACTAGATGCCCCTAAATCAAAGGAAAAATTGAAACCTAACCAGAATTACAGATAATTGCAATTAACGCAGGGTAAAAACCAACTGCGTGGAATAGATCGCAAAGATATTCCATCTTCTAAAACGCTGCGCAAAACAAACCCATAGTCATGAACCTCTTTTGGTGATTTATTGAATGCCCCGAGGTGGTTTTTCTAAAGAAGAGAAGGACGAAAAATTGGTTGAGCACGAAGAAAGAATTCAATTCCTGTGGCATATATATTTTCAGATAAAAATCAACAAACACCCTGTCGAAAGATGAAAGAAAGGTTAGCCAAGCGGTGGATAAGCACGGGGGACGTCTAAAGATAATTCCCTTGACGTTTCAATCTCGCTGTACAAACGGAGAGTAAATGATATCAGATTGTAAGCACTGGGTGTAACGCGGACCATTTCTTGCACGGCTGAGGGAGATTTAGTCAAAGATCACAACCTCCTATTGAAGGGGAATCTTCTCCCTCTGTATGGCCGTTGATTGCCCAGGGAGTGTTCGGATTACGATAAGCGTAAGGTTAGATAAACATGAAAAGTATTTTGCAATTCTCAACTTCTGCTTTTATTGGTGCTTCTTCAACCCAGTCTAAGTGACAGATACGGGGAAGAAAGAAACTGGCAGCGTGAAGGTATTATTTATTGGCACATAACCCTAGGCAAAACACACACTGTGTATGTAGGCCTACCCAGGCCCCCTTTACAGAAAGAAAAAATGAATAAAACCGAAAAGAAATAATATATACTTGCTAAATGATGCCAAAAATGGTCGTCCTTTTGTACACCAAAAATAACATTCTGGAAATGGCTTCATTTCCCCCAGAAGAGCGATGAAAAATATTATAAGACGACAATAAATTCCGTGAGCGCTATTTCATCTTCATAATATCTCAAAAACTTTGAATCTCATTGCCATTTCGAAGGGGTATGTGCTAATAGTATATCTTCGCCATCAGTCACTGTAACAAGAATCTAACATAGGGGGGTCGACAGTGATAGAACACATGCTGAAGATGAAGACTATCGTCCGAAGGATCGAGTTCGCAGAGAGAAAAAAAAGAACATGGGACCCCTGAAATTCAACCTGAACCCACCGAAGATGATTTAGTGTTTTTGTTGGGGATTCCATACGTCCAGTCTTCCACGATATTGTGCAGTGCAAACAGTGACCGCCTAAGCATATCGGAATGGCGGAATCAACGAACCAATAATAATATATATTGACTATGAAGACTGACAGTTCTCCAGATTTCATTTTTGTTACTGATCGCATGTCTGTTTATGTAAGAAATGTCTGTATGATACATTTGGCCTTCTTACTGACCCATAAAAGGCAAAAACACATTAAAAATATAATATAGGTAGATAATATTGTATTTTGATAATGCATTTCGTCAACATGATTTAATGCTCCTTTTAGGGAACTATGGACAGTATTTTCAGCTTGAGGAATTACTGCTCCAAATATTTTTGAATAAATTTGCTTTCTTTTAATTCAATAATTTGAGCATACAATGAGTTACAAGACAGGAATGTCTCTTCGGAAATATGTACTTCAGCTTTTGATAAAATTTTTCTTTTAACTCTTGCTTGTATGAAAAATGAATGACAAAATTTTAGCAACCTACTCCCCTTCCCTCCATTCCAATAAATATCAGTTTTATCTCACGCATATATCCTTTTATTCCTTCAAAGCAATAAAACATAACACTTAGGTTTCTTTCATCTCTGGAAACATACACCACTGGGGGAAAACCCTTTAGTCCAGGCAGACAAACGGAGGTTGTGTGTCCTACCTAATTATAGTATTGACATTGCTAACAAGCCCCATCAATCAACTAGTCTAGCTTCAAATGCCCTGTCAACATGTACCTTAGCAGCAGCCCCTAGGTAGCAATAGTTTAAAAAAATGATACGACATTCACGTACTGGGACTGGTGACAATGTCAAAATGAACTGGGACGCGATGTGGTGTGTGTGTGTGTGTGTGTGTGTGTGTGTGTGTGTGTGTGTGTGTGTGTGCACCTGTGTGTGTGTGTGTGCGTGTTTATATACAGTCTCTGAACAGGGTAATGCAGTCCACACTTTCAGATTTAAATAGATGTCACTTACATACTTCTCATGTAGAACAACATTTAATTGTTTATCTCTATTTAACATGTCTTGTATAGGCCTGTGTATGGGCCTGTGTAAGATACACAAATAGGGCAACATTAAAAGAAATTTAAGAAGATACAAATTTTCACAATGATAGTAGGTAATCTAGGTGCCTAATGGGATTTGTTACTCCACCAGCATCTTTTTTTCTACCAAATAGTGTTTTTCTTTTAATATATAAAATGTCTATGTACTTAGTATTGTCTAACAATGATGATAAAGCCAAATTCAAATCAAAATTCAAATCATCAAGTTATAAATAAATACTACAAAACAAAGAAGATATTTGATGTTATTTTATTATAATGTTAAATTTTCTACGAAATTACACTTTAGAAAAATACTTATTTATCACATTTGGAATGAAGTTACCATTTTAGACAATATGTTAATATGTTCAAAAACACGTTTCATTTGATTAATATCATAGTATACTGAATCCAAAATGCAAACATCTGAAATGATGAACTCAATCCATCTTCCAGGGAAAGGTTCCTGCCTCCTTGGCAAGGCACCTCAAATAAACGGAAAGTGTTCTTCCTGCTCAGCAGGTTAAAAAAGTGAAATCTCATATTTTAGTAATAATAAAAATGCAAATATTGTCACTTTTATGTATGCAGTGTTCAATAAATATAAACAAGTATGTAAGAAGATAAAATTCTCAGGCAAGTTAGTCATATATATATAAAATACTGACTGTAAGCTATAACTGTTATGAATTTTCTGAGATGTACTATTCATCCTTCTCTTAGTCCTATCTCCATCACTGACTTGATATATTAACTAAATAGTGATATCAGCACTGATCACTGGTGTTATTTGGCATTTCAATTACTCTCTGGTGGTGATTCACTTCCAACATTGGGATCTGACAGGTTTTGGGCGTTATCAGTAGTTTCTGACTTTTCATCTTCCAGATTAGCTACTTGTTGTGTTGGGATATTGCTGTCATGCTCACTTGGTTCATGAACAGTGGTCTTATCTGTTTCATGATCAGCAGTTTCATGACCACTTGTTTCATGACCATTTTCCCCATGACCATTTTCATCATGACCATGGGCACTTCCCTGATCACTGAAATCATACAGGTGCTCCGAGGATGCTGCCTGGATGAGGATGGTTGGAGCCAGTGATGGTGAGGCATTGACTGGTTTCTCTACTGGGACTTCCTCATCCCATCGGTGATATGAAGACACCATACTGGGGGTCTCAGATATGGATGGGGTGGACTCTGGGTACCTTTTCCTCAGAATGTCCAGAATCATTTGACTGTCCTGTTCATGGTTATAAGTTTCATCATCAAAGTCCTGCAGTCTGTTGTCACCTTGGGTGGATGACATAGATTTTTGGGTACCCGTCACAATATCACTCCCTAATACTGTCCTTTCATCCTCCTCACTGGCCATGCCCTCCATTTCTGATGTCACCTCTATGTATGACACCCTGTCGGATAGTTCTTTCTCAACCACCTGATCTCTGATGGAGTCTTTATTACTGGATTTAGATTTGGCACTGCTCTTCTGTGATTTCACACTGGATCTGGTTGAGCGCTTAGAGCGACTGGATGACGAGCGCCCTTCAATGGCTGCCTCGATGCGTTTGAGAAGTGGTGTTTTGGCCACCTCCTCAGAGTCTCCTATTGCTGGGTTTGTGTCCTTTGTGGCATTACTTACTCTACTTGGGCCACGGGATGTGCCAGATGCCCGTGATTTTGAGGTGACATGTTCTTCTTCCTTCTCCTCTTCACCCTCCCAATCTTCCTCACTTTCCTCAGATGTCTCCTCATCAGAGACATTAGAGAGAGCTTGGGAAACCAGAGAACCTGGCTTGCTCCGACGTTTGGAGCCTCTTGACTGTGAAAGCTCCTCAGTTCCAGTTTTGATGGTTGAAGTCTCCTCATCCTCATCTTCTTCCTCCTCCTCATCCCCTTCCAGTATCCTCTCAAGTTCATCATCTGCAGTTGGGGTGAACATGTTCTGCTCCCTGACATTGCTGACCGGAGAAGGTGTCCTTGATGTGACCTTGACCTCTGGAGGAGCTGGGGTGTTAGTGACACTGCGCATCTTCTGCTCAAGAGCCAACTCCTTGAAGTAGAAAATAAAAATATTGTGTTCATATGATTTTCCAGTAATAATTGGAACTATGGAAAAAATGGAAATCAATAATCATTTATCAATGTGAGAAAAATTGTTTCAAAATTATCATTGTTTCCATCACAGGGTTTTCTTAATTGAAAGTATCAGCTACTTGTATGCTATGAAAATAATGTCAAAAAGAACCTCAGTAATGGTCAAATAAAATTTACAGTCTCATATATAAACTCTATTCACTAAATGAAACCTAGGACCTCAAAGTAAATACATTTGGTGGTACATGGTATAATGATCTTAAATATAAGGTCCTGCAGCAAAAGTTCTTTCATATGCTAAACAAATCTCAATAACATTTGTTAAAGTGAAAAATAACCATCATTTGTTTGTTCAAGCAGGTAAAATGGGGGACAAACAACTTAAACATTGGGCGACATTTGGTTTTGACCAACACATCTTCGAGGGAAAAATTATTGTGGTCACACAAACATGTAGCAGACAATAGGTTTTAATGAATCAGATGTGAAAGCTAACATTTGATATTGACAGTCAGGACTGGACAAGTATATCATCAGTACTTTCATGTCTGGGTGAGTCATGGAATAGAACATATGTAAAACACCAGAGCCCTGTTCACATCAGAGCTAAATTGGACCTGATTCAGACTGTGTGGCATAGTCAGAAGACCAGACTGTTTAGCATGTCTTTTTTGTCAACCCGAGTTTTTTTTTTGTCACTTTGTAATCTGGTCATATGATAATATCAGTTTTTTTCTGAGTCTAATTAAGTCCCGATGTGAACACGGCAGAGCATACACAGACAATGTCAGGATCTTTCTTGCCACCAGGTCAAACATGCAGCACTTGGTACACACATACTCATACATAATGTGAGTCATAATAATAACAACTTTACATTCAATGAATTGGAAATAAAACTAATCTGGAGAAGAACAAAAGGTGAATTCTCCATGTGGCTTCCCTGAAGCTGATTATTCCACATGTCTTTAGTGAAATCAATAAAGTAGGGCACTTCTTATGTTGAAAGCCAGGTTTTCAGTCCATGTGAACTAATATCTTTTAAAAGAAGGATATTAAATGACGGCAATTAGATTTTCTATAGAAGTGAAAAATTATTGCTGTCATTCAATTTGCATGGTACTTAATCACCACACCTGCAGCCACAGTCCACCAGCAGACCAAGGGATACTATTACATACATGTAGTGGTCACACCTGCCTTAACTATAACAGCTAACTGGACACTGGACAGCTCTAACACTGACCGTCAAAGGGACTCATGGATCCACGATTTACTATGGCTAAAGCAGGGGAAGGGAGCACCACAAATTTTTGAAGAGCTTTGCTTGGTATCTTTGCATGATTCCCAGTATACACTGCATACTGTACATATAGTACATAAAGGTATCCTATCTGGGATTTTTCCCACCGAATCAATTTTTTTCCTTAAAAAAAATTCCTACATAAGAATCAAAGCTTGAATGGTCCCCACACTTAGCTTTGATGTTGTACCAGTAGAATGTTTCCTATCAAATGACTGAGTTCTTAATTACTGGCCAGTTACTTAGATCTCCATGTCTTTCTGGGTAAACTGAGGATGATCAGTGCAGTATTTCTCATGATATTCAGTCATGTAATATATTGTCAAGGAAATTCATAAAATATATTTCAGTATATCCATCTGATTTCACATTGGAATAAAAGGCAAAATATATACATATACATACATGCATACATATACCAGCAGTGTGTGTACTGTAGATGTAGACATATATATAGATATACTAATATGGTTACAACAGCCTGAGGTTAAAGAGCAAAGTTCTATCCCTACATGTCAACATAGTGGATAGATTGGACAAGTTGAGAATGTTGTAAGACGTGTAAGTTTCTCTCCTCAAGAAGTTCTGGCATACACGAAGTATTAGGAAGCGAGTTAAGATGTGCCTTTAGGGATCTGAGAACAGCAATAATAGCAGCAACTGTCACACCTTTCTAAAAAGGGGATTGACAAAAGAATGCCTGAATGACAAGGAAGAATGCTTGCGTGATGGTGCCATGTAATTTCCGCACTGAACAATAATAAATTCTCATAAAGTAACAATAATATGTAACTCTCAGTGTTAGCTACCAAACAATCTTGTTTTTTCTCTCCCTTTTTCTACATAACAATAGACACAATAGTAATTGAATACCTGGGACTGTGAGTCATACACAGTGCCCCCAAGCTCTCATTTCAGGTAACAGGAAAGAAAAATTAAGATGCTCCATTAATGTGTAAATTCTTATTTGAAGTCACTGATTAACTGTTGCATTATTAATAAATAAAGAATGAGTCACTAGTCACGGTGTAATACATGGAGGACCTATAATTTCAAAGGAAGAATGATTTTTTATCAACCAGATATAGTGTAAAATGGGGGGGGGGGGCAAATCAGTGTGGGGAAACGAGAAAACTTCTGACCACTAATATTTAGATGTCAAAGTAATATTTATATGTCACACGAAGACCAATTTTAAAATGGAGATGGTGTATGTTTGTTTTCTGTGTGGTTGAGATGGGGGAGGGGGGAGGGTTGCTGGTCAAAGGCTGTTGTGGGGGAACTCACCTCGGCAGGTCCAGGGCGGTACAACATGCGTGCCAGGTTATACTCTTTATCATCGATGGCCTCGTTGACCGTGATCTGGGCACAGATGTTGCTTTTGGTACACAGCTTGCGCACCTCATTCTTAATCTGCAGCACCATGTCTGTCTCCTCCGTGGCACTGATGCCGAATGTTGCCAGCGCCTGGGCAATCTGTCTACAACACATCAAAGGAAAAGATATATTTTTATATCATCATAATTGCAGGCTGCACTCTTTGACTTAGGGCTACTTTTTCATATCAGTGTCAACCTACCTAAAATCAAGTTAAAACATGGCTGGCTAAAATATGTTTTCCCACATTAAAAAAAGATGTAAAAAATGAATTAAAATCAATTTTAACCTACTAAAAATCAAGTTTTAAGAAAGATAGCTAAAATATGATTTTCCATGTTAAAAAAAGATATAGAAAATGAATTTAAAAACTTATTTTAAAACAAGGTTTAAACCATACTAAAGCCATAATGTTAAATCAAACCTGAGAATGTCTAAATCAAAACTTTTTGAAACTTCTGCTATGTGACAAATGATATACACATATGGTAGCACATGTGCGAGCCCGCATGTTAGTATGACCACATCAAAGAAGTATGCAAATGTAAAAGATGTAAGATACTTGGAAAAACAGGTGGTCAATTTGCTGCAGATTGTGTCCTCGTTTTGTCGGGACACAGCTGATCATGATCATTTTGTGCTCTAAGTAAACTTGTCACACAAAAACTGAGCAGTGCTTTTTCTTTCACAAATATTCTTTTTTTAAATTCCCACATGTGTATATGTAATTGATGGGAATCAGAATTTCATGAAGTCTCATATATCATAATATGGATTCCCTTTAAAAAATACTTGTAATCAATTTAGCACTGTAGCAGTAGAAGTAGAAAAACTCATTCTACATAGAACATTTTATGGCATTCAATATTTAAACTTGACAAATTACAGAAATTGACTCTGAAAAATGATACACCACTAAAAATAGTGATGCTTCATCTCAAATACATTTAGATAAGCATTGACTGCTGCTGCTCCCTATTGTGTTAACAGAACACTAAAAAAAAAAAAAAAAAACAGATTTACTTACTTCTTAACCATAGGGTCTGGCTCAACAAGAAACTTGTCCTGCAGTATCTGAGTGACTTCTTCATCATTCATGTTCAGTGCAACAATCGTGTGGCATGCCTCGGCACGCACGCCTGCCTGATCCTCGAAACGAAATGCCCAGATGACACAGTCTCTTACTTCCTCCATCTCTTTACCAATCCTTCCCATTGCTGAATTTTTAATAAATTAAAAAAAATATATGTATCACACTAGAAAATGGATATCAAAATGATAGTAAATTTGTCAAATTTTCAGTGCAAATATTTTTTCTGTTATTGTGATGGTATCTACAGCATAAAAAGTATGGATTCAAGTCATAAGCAATTGAAAATAAATCACAGTTTTCACAAAAAAACTTCAGTTCAAGAAGATACTCCACAAAACTTACTTTATACTATTGTGCATTTGTTACCTTTAATGGCATGAGCTTTTATCTTCCAGACTCTCTCATATGTAGCCAAGTAGACTAGCTTGTCTATCACATCAGGCTCCTCAATCTGAAGCATCCCGGCTGCTTGGCATGCAGCGATCTTAGCCGCAATGTAGTCATCATCAAAACACTTCAGGAATGATGGAAGCAACTTGGAAGTCATAATTTCTGCAAGTAAAAATACACATCATTATTGATCAGAAACCCTTTTTCACTTTAAAAATTCTAATTTCTTAGGCAGAAAGTTAAAATTTTTTATTGCTTTTAATATTTGTAATGTTTGTAATGACAGGAAAATCAATGTAAATCGATACTTCATATACATTCTAATCAATTTTAATCTAAAAACAAAAATAAAATTCCGAATATATTTTCCAGTCTATTTCTATGAGTTAAAATAAACCACAAAATTCAAAGCAGGGGTTCTTACTGAGGTAGCCCACTTTGACAATGGCATCAACTCTGATGTTTGCGTCACTGCTGGTCAACCTCTCTCTGAGTTGGTCATGAATGTCCTTGCCATGGCCGCTCTTCCCCAGGGTCTGAGCTGCCGCTTTACGCACCTCGCTGTGCCAGTCATTCCACATCAGATAGGTTAACTTCTGAGCTATATCCTACATAATGGGAATCAACTTATAGTCAATTTATAAGGGACTGTTAAAAATCCATTGTTTATCTGAGAAATAAAATGACCCCAGAAAGGAGATATCTAGTTTAATTTGTATTTTGTTATTACTTCAAAATAAAAACCAATATCGATTACACATTTGAAACAAAAGTAAGGAACTACATCAGAGGCGGATGGAAGCCATCTTTTGGGTCCAGAAGATGGTCAGAATTTGTCAAGTTTACACTGACAGGCATCTATTTTTTTTCTGTTGGAAGACATTCAAACATAGAAAATGATTCAACAAAGATCATTTGGAAGACTGTCAGAAAATATTTTTGGATGTGCCCCTGTACATATAAAGAAAGTCATATCTGTCTTTGCTGTGTTATAGCATACCCTGTTAATTTTCCCATACAGTTTTACCATGACCTTGCAGGCCATCACCCTGTGTCTCCAGCTACTGCTGTTCAACTGTTCTGCCAGCATGGAGTATGGCAATGTCTGAAACAGAATGAATGGCTCACTTACAATATGCAATGTATAGTACGTGAAAAACAGAATAAGCATATGAGTGCATACAAAATGTGTTTTTTGTACATAATACTAAAACACATATTCTCTTAACATACAACGATTTAGGATTTACTGGTAAGTTGAAAATTTTCATAACTAATTGCTTAATGTTTCATGACATCATCTAAAAAATACATATTTATTTTTCTCGTTTGTTTTTTAGATAAATAACATCTTGTGCATCTTGGTGGGGGGGGGGGGGGGTTGATGGATGACATGAGTGTGCACACTTTTTGGTACATAAATATTCATCTGCTACTGTTTTTAAAATTTCAATAATTTAAAGATATTCTACAGCTCTTACAGAGTTAACACTAAGCCTGGCTAGAAGATGGGCACATCTCTCATGGCTGATCAGATCCTCCTGAGTCATCAGCTGATGGACCAGCTCACCCACCACCTCAGAGTCACACACACCAAAGTGGGCCAAACACTGGGCAGCAGCCCAACGGTCCACAGACTTCTCTTTCCTCAGAGTTTCTCTCAAAATCTTTTCTCCCTAGAAGTAAAGGAGTGGTTTTCAGAATTCTAAGAAAATAAAGCAGAAGATCATTTTGAAACCCATACTAATCTGATGCAAAAAAGAAAACCAAATCTGAAAAACTGTTAAACTTTGTAAGAGAATGTTTTAACTTTTATTTAATAGCCTTGTATATATTTCATCATATATTTCATTATATTTCCATCCAGTTCTAAGTCACTTTAAACTACACAACAGAATCCTTACCTCAGGATGTGGCCTATTCAGAGAAAACAGTGTGATAGCAGCTGCCCTGCGGACGTGCTGGTTTGTATCTTGAAGCAGACACTCCAAAGCCACGAACAATTTCTCAGGCAGCGTGCTGACGTGATCCTCCTCCTCTACATGTGAGTGAATCTGTATCCCTGGCTCTGGGGGAGGTCTATACTCTGCTGCCTTAGCAATGGTGGTAATGGCCTTCAGCCGGACATGTGGGTGTAAGTCCTGCATGTCCACTATGAGGTCATCAGGGGTGCTGTCTGCATACCGGTCATTCAGGTTCCAGCGATGCTTCCAGTCATCAACTGAGGAAAAATGATGCGACTCATCAGTTTTATAGTGAGACAGACAAATAATAGTGCACTATTACTATTAAAAAGTTACTGGTATTATTTGTGTCCACAAATGGGAAAGCTAGCAATGTTTAGAAATGCCTCATTGGACAGGGATTTATTCAGTCTTTTATTTAGAAGTCTGGTCATTCTATGGCTTCAAATGATTGAGTTTTGACATGAATCATTTGTCTTTATAAAATATTAAGAAGATTTGAAAAAAATAAATTAGATTATACTTGGTGTATGCTTACCAATTCTCAAAAGAGACAAATTCCCTTTCTTGATCTTCCGTAGTTTTGTTGGATCTGGAAGATTGTCGTCTTCTAAGTCAGCTCCAGGCTGTTTTAAGTTCAGCAACTCAGCAGTGTCCTGCAATTTTAAAAAAGCCCAATGATAACAAATTCTGATGATTCAAAAATGCATTTATTCACTGTATTGACAAAAGTTTACCCAGATTCAATATAATTTCTTTTTAGCTCATTTAAAGTACCATGATAATAATTTGAAATAAAATCTATAAAATCACCTTATTAGTCTCACAACTGGTGGAAAAATAAATTTGAAAAAAAAAAAAGATTAAGTTCAACATGTATTTTAATACAATATTCCATCTTTTAAAAGAATAAAACTAAGAACTATAGCTCCTAACTATTTACATCAATAGGTTCGGGTAGGTCCTTCCACCTGTGTAAACCCTTGGTGATCTTCTTGCTCTTCTTGGCTTCCTTGAGACGCTTTTGTCTCTCCTCATCTGTTTCTGGGAACCAGGATTCTGGGTCGTCTGGATATTTTCTCTGCAAAACTTTCCTGTACCTGTTCAGATTTTCCAGGACAATTTTGCTTTTGTCGCCAAACACCTGATGTACCTGCTTAGTTCCTGGATGTTCAAAAAAAGTTTTGTTACAGCAGTAGCACTTAAAATTCTGACCTTAATCTTAGAACTCTAAACTTACTAATGGATGCATGTATGTACACAAGAAAAATATATTTTCATACATTTATAAACAAAGGTAAACATCAATTTGTTCATAACCTACAAATGTGTACACCAACAGAGCTACAAATTAAATATAAATTACTTCATTTAAAGAACAAATAAATATTTCAAGAGCATCCTTTTTTTTCAGATACATCTGAATTTTCTAAGAGGGTGTGTCCTTTTTTAACCTTTTGTATGTGTCAAGCAAATTTGAAGCTTGATTCAACCTGTCTATGTCAAGTTTTGCCCACCTGTAAGCCACTCCTGCTGGAACATGTTGTCTGTCATGAACATCTTTTCTCCACAGTGGGGATTCATGAAGTCATTCAAGGTGGGTGGCGGGAGAGATTTCCTGGGGATAACCTCAATGTTTCCTGCAGTTCTGTTGATGGCTAAAAAATTAGAAAAAAAAAATTAAAATAATATGAAATATATATTACCAAGGGGGTATTTGTGGCTGTATATTTCATGCAACAAATAAAACATGCCAAATTTTGGAATTAAAAAAAATAAAGTAAGCATAACTTTCTTCAAAGAGGTAAAATTTAAATTTATGATTTCTATCAATACCTACACAAATTTTGGTACAGCAAAACCAAAAAAAAAAAAAAAATCACCATATTGTAAAGTAAAATATTTTAGATAATTCAAAATATAATGACATATCTGCACAACCTATTCGAAGCTGGTTGAAATAAGCTACTACTCTGCGTGTCTGATACTGACATTAGTACTTTGCAGGTCCTTCTCACAAATAGTCACAACCAATGCACAACATCTCTCGTTCACAACAAGCACAATTGGAAATAGAAATACTCCATGTACCATATGAAGTATTGTACATCTAAAACTTTTTTTCTCTATTACATAGAGCCTCAGTACATATAAGCATACATGTATAATATATACATATAACAATCTTGGGTGTCACAACATATAACTTTTCTTAAATATAAAGGATTGTTTTTTTAAATTGAAAACAATAATTGTAATAAAAGTAGCTGCTTTGTGGGCATTACATACAACACAAACTGGTACACTAATAATAGTGGCACGGAAATGGACACAACTGCACAGTTTACATGAGCATTTTTCTTACGTTTTAAAAGAGGAATTAGAATTGACAAAGAAAAGCCTGGAATAACCACAGTAAGCAAACTTTCTGGACCATGAGTAGTCACAAGATTGACATTTTGTGATCTAGATTTTTTCTTGCTAATCTAAATGACCAATTTTCAGAGAGGAAATATCTAAAAGTTTACAGCAACCAGTAGAACATTTTCTTCATTTCAGAGAATCTATAACAACAAAAGCAGAAATAATTATATACTTCATGTCATCTTACCCATTTCCGTCAATAAACCAACTTAGTAAAACAGAAAAGGGAAACATGTACATTTTGTGAGACAAAGTCATGCACACATATATTTATATCTCCTCCATATCGTGTACTACATGATCACATTAGTAAAGTAACTTGACAAACACAATATATAGGTTCATGATGATGATGATGATGATGATGATGATGATGATAAAATACATGTACAGTAGGTTGATTGATATTTGGCCAGTTAAGGCCACACGCACACACGCACGCATGCATGCACGCACACACACAGACACACATATATATTTAATGTCACTGAAATCTACATTTAACGGGAAATTGCACATGCACATCATGAATTCACCTTTCGACAGGAAATTAAACCATGTGAAAATAAGTAATGGGTGGGTTGCGGTGGGCGTTGGATCTCAGATGCTGTATATGAGTAGGTAGAATCTACACTTGATTGATTACATATTCCAGTAAGCAAGCAATATAATGACAAACAGGTGATGCAACCAAACAATATTTCAGTTATCTCAGTTTTTGTACAGGAACAGATCCTAGATCACTAATTAGTCCACCCATCATAAAAGAGGCAAATCAGACATATTACATCGCTCCATCATTTAAAGCAATGCTTTTAATGCACATTTCTTCTTCTTCATGTGCCATCACTGATGCGGTGCTTGATATTTTGCCAAAGGTTTCTGTTTCTCACCCATTACCAAAGGTGTCTTGTTGGTAAATCAAAATTGTCAAGGAAGGTCTTGATGCATCAAGAAAAATGCCAAATCAATCACTTTGTCCTGAATCACCAAACACAACTGAATAATTTATGAAAAGTCAAACCAACACGAACCACAACGAACCAGCACAAGCCAGTGAAAACCAGCACAATTAGCACTGATTCCACACTTCAATGACTCATCATAAAAGCTGTGATTTTTAAGCTATGTCCTGATTTTTGCAGAATATATGCACACCTGGCTCTACTGATATAAATTCTGCAAAGGATATATTGGCATCACACTGAATTAATAATTTCGTTACTTTCCAGTTTAAACCTGTAGCGTAATCTGGAAAAAAAAATTAATGCAATGCAATCTACTTCACCTGCTTGAGCTCTCGCCTGGTGCTTCCTTTCCCTTCTAAGTCCAGCTGGCTGTCGATAAAATGTGGCTTTATTTCTGTCAGAGTATGGGACAGTGGTGAGATCCAGGGACTCCTCATCACTGTCATCAAAACCTGGAGTCTGAGTGGCACGATCCAGTAATCTGAAATAAGCCATTTGTCATCATCATTAATATGTTATTTTTTTATAGTAGTATTTATGATTTCAATAAAATATTTGATTTTTCTTCTTTTTTGGGGGAGGGAGAGGTGTAAAATTTATGGAAAACGTCTTAATACATATGCTGAGAATTTTGATGTTAATATTATATTTTATTGTAATAAAGAGCAGTTCAATCTATATTGCAACTGGTTTATTTAAGATTCAACTACAATCTTGCCAAGCACTAATAATTTTTTTTTGGGGGGGGGGGGGGTGCATTGTTTGAAAATACTAAAAAATTTTTAAAAATAATAATAATTTCATTAACAATAATGATCTCTCAATTTATATATATATTCTATGCAATCCACAATATGGTCCTTATTTATATTGACTTCATATAGCATATTGTGCTTGGCTGTCACCTTGATCAGTTAATGAACATAAAAAATGAGAAAACTACTTGAGAATACCACAGAAGGCTACCATAATGAAAAAAAAAAATTAAAATCAGTTAAAAAAATTTAAACAAATTTAATAAAAATTGCCATAAATGACTTCTGATTTGGTCTGGTTTGTTTTGCATTATGGTAGACAAGCACATAATTTTAAGGTCATTTTTTGTGGTTTTTAGGTTTATTAAACAATCAAGGTGACAGCTGAGCATGTGTCCTGTCACCTATACATCTAATGGAAACTCATTTTCACTAAGTGAACAAACCGTGAAATATTTAATAGCTTCCAGTTACTACTTAATTACCAATATTAATAAATAAATAAGCAACTGATAGGGGAAGGTTAACTTGGAGCCAAGTTAAAAAAAGTAATGCCAATCATTAACATCACTAAATCAAAAATGATATGAAAAAATGGCCTCAAAACTATGTATTGCACCAAAAAGAAAGTTAACAAAAATGAACTGTCTCCTTACATTTCTTCCTGCCTCCTGTACTTTTTCTTGGGTGTTTCCAACTCCCTCTTTTTGAACATTGAAAAACTTGTCTCACTAGCATCATCAGGCACCAGTTCTGTGGTGGACGGTTTTCCATATTTGGCCGACAAAAGGTGTTCCAGGTCTTTCTGGTGTTCATCTGGCAACATCTTCTGATGCACAATCCACTGGGCTGTTCTTTTGCTCAGTTTACTGATAAGGTGTGAGTCCCAATCTGCTCTCAGTTTTTTTGAAAATTTACCAGCAACTTTTCCGCCATCCAGTTCATCCTCTTCCTCTTGGTCTAATTCTTTAGACTTTCTCTCTGTTGGTCCAGTTTTAAAAGATTTTACTTTGCTTTTAGTTGGGCTGCTAGGTGATGCTTCAGTTAAAAATACCCCACTTGCTGATGTGGAGATTTGGCGTCTGTCTGTTAAATCGTCCTCTTGATCCTCGTCCACCATATCCTCTTCTTTTTGTATTTTTTGCAATAGATCCTCCTCTTGCTTAGACATTTCTAATGCCTTTTTCATTATTCTTCTTTTTAAAGGCTAAAAAATAATTATCAATAGGCATCAAATATTCCATTAAGAAATCAATAACACATCAGAGACTTACTGAATATAGTATGTTAAGAAACATAATAATCATACAGGCCCATAGCCAGCAATTGCAAAAGGTGGGTTCTTTTTTTGAAAATGTGGACCTTTAGTCATAAAACCTTTACCTAGATTAGATTTACCAAGAATGGACCTTTTCTCAGCAAAAAGGGGGGTTCTTCTGGGACTGTCACTATACTCTATCACTACCACTATGTACACTACATGAATACACAAAAGCAGCATACATCTAGCAGAAAATATATCAAAATTTGAGAAGAATTTAAAAAATTGGTTATCTTACTTTCAGATAATGTGGCCCAGTGCTTTTCAGGTGGCATGGTTGGTGTTTCTTATCAGAGCCTCTGAGGTAAAACCTTCCCATGGCCTGAGAGGTTTTCTTAGGTAAATGCAGGAAATTTGGCAACTTTAAGGCATCTTGTAGATACTTGCTATCATAAGGCAATGCATGAAAACACCTGAAACAATAAGATTATTTATTAATAAATTATCTATCAAATTATGAGCACACATCTGGCCAGGTGTATTTTAACTATTTTTTTTAAAAAATAAAAATAACCTTTTGCTTTTAAGTTTGATTCAATCAACTTACATAACATATTTTCTCCAACCCATAACAAGACTTCTACCCATTATTACTCCAACAGATTTAGTTTAGATAGATGAGGTGCACTTGCTATGTTGTTTTTGCCATGGGTATGAAATATATCAATAATAATTGAAATATCATTGGCATTATATTGTGCAGATTAGAATACCAAGCAAATCAGTTTGTTCATCACCTATCTTGTACCACATCTTCGCTGAAGGAGAGCCCTGTGCTGATCTTCTTCAAATAATGTGCATTCAAATCACTGGAGTCTTTCTGAGTAGAGCTGTACACTATTCCAGGACCTCTGGCTAGAGGTCCATCTTGGCTACTGAGTTGTGATGAAGTCCTGACAGTGTATTCACGTTCATCAGCACCAACGTGAGGCACTTGTACCCTTGATGCACAAGGAAAGAGCACTGGTGGACCTCCCAGTTTGTCTGCCATTTTGAAAATCTGTAATACTAAGGGAAAATTGCAATTTAAGAAATTGTGATATGTGATATCTGTGTTTAAGTAATCATGGTGGTTAAAAACATGGATATATACCCAGTACATGTATATGTATTACTGAGACTCCCTAAAACTACAGACTCCTAGTTAACTTAAATATAATGGGGTTGATTATTCTGTCAACAGAAAAAAAACTGGTTGCCTTTACAGCAGTGTGAGGATGGAGGAGGTGAGAGGTAAGATAAAGTTTTTAAAGTTTCAGCATCATGGTGAATGTGCAAGCTGTTCATCCTTTTACATTTATAACCACCCATAGCTTTCATGCATTAGAAAAGCAACACATACATGTATCAGAGATGATATACAGGAATTCTTACACATGGATGTTCATGCTATGACCTAAATCCTAGAAAATGCCATCTATTCATACCTGACAACAAGCTGTTGTATCACACGTACATGTATTTCAAACACATTACTGGTAGATGCATACATGTATATATCTAAAATCTTTAAAAGAACCAAATCTGTGTGTTGCAAATCACCAAGTCTATAGTCCGACAAAGAGGACCTGTCTGTGTCACCATAAGTAAGTAATCTATTACAGGTGGGTGAATCCATAAAGACCATTCGTTAAGGCAACAAGGACTCTCATAACCCTGTTGAAATTGTAAACATTCGACATACATTTACTTACATTACATGTTGTAAGTAATGCTCATACGAGTTACTATTCAAGGCTTTAAGTTCACTTATTTAACCCCTACCTTCTACAAATGATAAACATCAATCAAAACAGGCCAGAATCCAAGTGAGTTCTTATCAGAAATTTGAAAGACAGGTAAAGCACTGTCCGCCATGTTGTTTGAGCTGGTTTCTATGGGACAATAAGCTTATCTTGAAGTCTCTGCTGCCCTCTATTCAACATCCGCTTTTTGGATCAGTTCATTTAGTAGAAAAAGGGGACACCTGTTAGGAACGATTTTCTTGGTTTTTATTCTTTTTTATCATAAAAGTAACATTTTCATAAATAATTATTTCTAAATTAAGTTTAAAGGTAGTGGCAATGCGTGTTCTGTCTTATAATTTCTTTCTGGTCACTAACTTACAATTGTAAACAAATATCCTGATCTCCCTTGGGATGCGATCACCGGCAAAGTGCCTGTTGGTTGAGGATAATGTGTGAGGGCACGATATACGGAATCGCTCTATGACGATATGGGGTCCTCTTGAGCACCAAGCAGACAAATGTGGGACTTTTGACGGAGAATGAGATATAGAAACCGTAGATATATCAGGGGAACCTTATTCCTCTTGGTGCTCGGTGGATTTGCCTTATGGAGGACCGCCTTGCAGCCGGATGCGGCCGTCGACACAGATTTTATCGACGATGGAATCATCATCCGAAGCGATAGCATTAAACGTAGGTTTTATAGTGACACCCTTTAATAAATGTCAATTATCTGTTATATTTTCCATGACTTCCTCAAGTGTGGTATATCGATAGAATAATAGTAACCGTCACAATCGATTTGTAGTTTGTAGTTTGTGGTTAATTGATTGATTGAGTTAACGCTATTAATTTAAATTAATTAACCAAGTTATACTAATTGAATTTAAATGATCACATCTAAACTGTGGTATTTAAGTTCCTTAAGGATACATTACAAAATAATCACACATTATTAATAGTTGTCTAAATACTGTATATAACTCATTTATCATTTGATAAGATTGGAGTGACCAAATTAGAATTGACATTTTCATTGCCTTTTTATTTAAAAATGAAGATAATTTATGGGTATTGCTAGGTTTATGCAGTTTTGTCATCTGGATGTATTCCCAGATTTATTGTATAGATTAGGTGGGGCCCTCCAAATGAGGGTTTGATCTGGACACCTAGCAATGATGGCCAGCCACCCCACTTCTTGACCGCAGCTTAATTTGTCTACTAGAGCAATACGGGAAATACCATGCAATGACTATGGGCTGGTGATTTTGTAACTGGGACAGTCATATCTCAATCTTAATGACTGGGAGGATAAAAATAGTTTAGCCAGAATACACATACTCAAAACTTTTTAGCAAGGAAATACCACCAGAACTCAAGTGAAAGTCTAGAGTCTATTTTTTTTTTACTTTTTTATTAGATGTCAAAGACATGGTGTTAAATATATGGTATAAAATTTGCAGGCTGGCAAATGTTAGAAACATATAGTAGATAAAGGACTTATATGAAGATTTCTGATACTGTTATGTATTCTCATACCTTGGTGTACAAGTAGGCTCTACATGAAGTAATTGTCAATATGGGCCCTTGGAGGAAGAGATTGTGCATTGTTCTTCAAGAAAATTGAATTCTTGGAAAGGATACTTGTGGTGTTTGGAAATTTGATTTATTGTTTCTTTTTAGTATGTTATTTGTATTTTATTTGAATAGCTATTGATTATTCATTTATCATGATAAAAATCAAAAGATCACTATGAAATTAAGTCTTCCAGGGTTGTTGTTGACAGAGACTAAATTATCCATACACGGCTATATGAGGCAGTTAGACAGTCACATGATTTTTATCTCAAGCACTCTTACTTGACATTTTATTTTGAGCTGAAGATTTGCAGTGATCCATCATCCCTCCCATATGAATTGGCAGTTAGGTTAAATCAGCAGTCAGTTGAAGTTGAGTCGAATATATCCCAAGTTTCTATTTTGAAAAATTACATTTTATAAGTCCCTTGGACATTGTATAGCCTACCCATGATTCTAACCTTTACCACTTTCATGTATTTTTCCCGGGGGATTTAGGTTAATAGATGGAACTCTTTATGTAAATAAAGATTTCATTTGACCTGATCTGTTGATCAATACAGATTCAAGGGGAGATAAATGAATTCAGGAAATATTACGAAATTACAATTCTGTGATATCATTTTGCTTTTGAAATAATACATAATATATCTTCCCAGCAAAATCTAGCTTGTGTGAATGAAGCTTGTGTGAATAAAATATTTTTTTATCCAAGAGTGAAGTAAGTGCCAAATGGTACTGTGTGAAAAGGAGGTGACCACAAATTACAGGTGCCTTTTATAGCTGAGTTAACACTGTGGTCATATGAGTTACAGCCTGATGAAAACTATGAAATATAATTGCAATTTGCAAATATTCCTTTTTTCATAGTTTATAGAAGAAGAATTAAAGTTTGAAATCTTCTTAGTGTAGAGAAAAGTACATAAATGTGACTCATCAGGAGTTAAACAGTGCACTGTTTCAGTTACCACTGACATTTGAACCAAAAAAATGTATAAAATGAGGTAGAAACACAATGATTATATGCTTGAAATGGACCAGCTCATCTGCAAGTCACATTTGAATTTTTAATGTGCTTCATGTTTTGTCACATCATTTCTCCATCAAGAGGAGACCAAGGACAAACGTCACTGAAAGATGTATTACACGCATAACGCATTAGTGGCATTATTTGAAGTTATCCAAGGTCATGTTTTTAATATTAATTGGATATTTTTGTTTAGTTTTACCATTGTAATTTGAATCGCCCAATATCTAAGGAAGTCCACTCCTGACACTAGGCCCCATTCCCATAGTCACTATTGTTCCACATAGGTAGACCCAACTCTTATGGGACTCTTGCTGAGTGCAGTAGGTTTAAGATATTAACATACTTCCTCCAAGGGTTGAGTAGAATACAGAAAAGCTGGTAATTATACAAGTATGTTGGAATAAGGAGGTGTGTCATTCAGTTATTAAGGGTGCTTTCCCAGAGATTTAGATCGACCTAACTCCCTGGGGGTTCACACTAAATTGCAGTCAGCCGAGCGGGCACCATAGTTAATTACCCCCTTACAGCTTTTAGTAGGCGGGACAGACGCTTAAGCCGGCCAAGCTGACAGTAATCTAGTGAGACTCCTCACAGGGATAGATCGATCTAAAAATCTATGGAAATGGGGTGTAAGATGATTGCACTTAGCAAGAGTCCCTGCAGAGTTGGACCGAAGAATGATGGTATCTGTGGGAATGGGATCTAAGACTGTGACCATACAACATTCTCTGTATCAGCTAACAAAGTTCTTTTATTTTATGTACAAAATACATGGATATGAAGACCTTACACATTAGTTACCTAGTGTTAATTAGTGGACCCACAGATTATACATTTTAAACAATAAGAAGTTCTCTAATAATACTTCACATTTTTAAGTTCCGAAAAGCCACACTTGCTGAAAAATGCCTTAATAGTTCTTAGTTTATGTCCTGCACAATGTAAAAAATGATTATATTTAATTCATGTGAAACAGTGCCATGTTGGCAGTTCAGTCGCATTGAAAATTCAAATCTATCAATAATATGTATGTTCATCACCAACACTCCTTTTTTATTAATAAACTGAGATAATGATAGTATGTGATAAGCAGAATAGCCAAGTTGAAGGTAACTGGAATTGGAAAGCTGAATATTCTAGCTCAACAATTATTGGAGCATTGGAACAAAAGAATGTGACCAATTGGTATTGCATTATATTAAACATGAGCGTTTATTTTTGTAATTTTATTTATTTATACTTTTTCGCTCATGTCAAACTGGTAACCACTATACTTTAAAATAAAAGACTCGTATTCCACAACATTTTGGATGTATAAGTGTTTGGAGACTGATTAAAAAGTCGAAAACAATTGCTGTATTCTGTTCTTTGCATGGGGTAAAACAATCAATTTTTTTCCTTGCCTTGACAACAGTTTGGACTAAGTGTTCACCAAGTTGGCTACTGATTGCCCTGTGGTCCTGTACTGCAGATTTTGTATTCTTGTCAGGTAACTATCCTGTAGATGTAATACATTTGCACACATGCAATTGTCAAATTGATTTTTTTTTCTTTTCTTAAAAAAAATTTTTGCCTGCTGCACTCTTTCCTAGTATTATTGACTTTTTACGATCAAAAGAAAAGGTAATGCACATAGTTTTTTTGTATAATTACTTTTTTTTTTAGAAGTTTAAGTGTACTTCATCTTAAAGTATCTAGTAATTAACTTATTGTAGGATTGCTATTGTGAATTGATAGCTGAACTTCTTGGTTTTGCAATACATTAACTGTTCCCACTTTTAAATTTTAGAAAAAATAATCCCTTGCTTTTCTTCCTGCTGTAAAATGCAGGTGATCGCTCATGCAGAAGCATTGACCTTAAGTGGTTTCGGCAGTGTGTTCAATTATTCAGTCTTGATCTGTCAGGCCTACCCAACTACCCGACTCGGCACCGAATGATCCCGAATTCACTGATCTACCGGTGAATTCGGGATCATTCAGTGCCGAGTCTGATAGTTGGGTAAGCCTGTCTTCGCTCTCTCACCAGATGATCATGCAGTTAAAATATGACAGTTTTTTTTCAATCTGAGTCATGAGGAGTCTGGGTGATTTGTGTGTCTGTGGATCAGAGTGAAACTTTTTCTATTTTAAGTTAGTAGATACCCACAATAGTAGTTTTTTTAAATGCAGCTTTAAGTCAAAATTATTTCCACCAAAGCACCTTACTTCATGAGGGAATGAAGCTGCAGGTGTTGTAACTGAGGGCTCATTACCATTGAAACTACCTAGATTGATCCAGCTCTGAGGGGACTCTTGCTGAATGCAATCAGTTTAACAGATTAACAAACCTCCTCTTGTTTCTGGTGTACTCGTATGATCACTTTTCTGTGTTCTAGTCAATGCCAGGAGGAAGTGTGTTAGGCTTCGTTCACATGGAATGTCTATTTTCTAAAAATCTATTTTCTATTCGCGGTATCTTATGATCACGGTCTGTGCCCTGAATATCCCGCGGCGTAATTACTGGCAGCGCGAGCCAGTTACTTATACAAAGCTGTAATTAATTCTCGTGGAATTAGTAATTACGCCGCGGGATATTCAGGGCACAGACCGTGATCACAAGATATACCGCGAATAGAAAATAGATTTTTAGAAAATAGACTTTCCATGTGAATGAAGCCTTAATCTTTAGATCTGATTGCATTCACCAAGAGTCCCTGTAGAGTTAGATTGGTTTACATAGAATGATAGTATCATTACAGATGAGTCCTAATTTTCTTGCTATTTGCACTTTTAATTTGTTTCCAAGAGAACATTTTACTTTTATTTTTGGATGTGTGAACAACAAGTTTTTGGAAGTAGTTTTCCTTTTGTTTTTTAGATCCCAAATAATCAGATAGATATCTTCACTTATTATAGTGACCTATAGCCCACCTGATAGAGGAGAGGCAGATGATTCACATTATCATACTTGTGCTTTTGGTCACTTTGAGTTGTATTAATCATTTTTATGCACTTGTCTGACTTTATATTACTGTCAAAACCATACATTTCTCATTATAATATTCTAGTTTATACATTCTAAAGTTTATATCTGCACTTGCACTTC